CTCTCAGGCATTGCACCTACTTAAAAATGCACAATAAGCTGCATTTCTCATGAGGTATCCAGGTTATGGAATTAGTAAAAGGTTGTGGTCTGCTGCAAAGTGACATAAATACTCAGCAAATCTGAATAAGAATTTTATTGGTAGATATTTTTATTCAACTTCTAGTGAACAAATTAATCTTTTYCTTCCTGCAAAAAAGCTCTGTATATGGTGCAAAAGAAGGCAAGTTTCATGGAATTTATATATTTTGAATCTTTTATTTAAAATTATTCTGGAGAATCCTTTTTTCTCTGAATGGCATTTGACATTGTGTATAACTTTTTATACTTTAGGCCTGCTGTAGAATGTAAATTTTCCTTGGATCACATTTTAATTCACCTTTTCAAGAGCTAGAAACTTGTTTCTTTAATGAAGGCTTAGATTTCAGAGTAGAAATGCAGCTTTTTATCTTGTCATCTGYTTCAAGCCCTAGTTATGCCAAGAGATTCTACCCTTTCTACTATATTTCAGCAGTAATTAATGGGGTGAGGCATGATGCTTAGGCAAACATCTTTCCATTCCTTATCCTGATAAATCTTTAATGATATACTTTTAGTCATGACATCTGCTGTTTAATGGATGACTCAGTGGATGGGGGAACAGGTGTTCCCCCCCCAATTCGGCACCCCATGTGTTCTCATGGAGCCATTGGCCTTTTCTAGGCAGGGGACTCGATCTTGAAGGTCTTTTCCAACCATCATTTTATGATTTTTGGGCCCTTCTTTGTCTCCTGCCTCCATGCTGCACCCACCCTCCGCAACTCCTCCTGGGGCGTCTCTGTCGCCAAGCAACGCTCAAAATGGCCGCGCCCGCGCGGTGCGCGCTGGGAGTTGTAGTGCTACTACTAGCCGTTTCTCCCCTCGCCTTCAGGTCCTGAACTCTCTTTCCCAGAAGGCACCGCAGGCGGGCGGCGCTGTCCAACGCGCTCCGCTTGCGGGCTGAGGAAGGGGGTTTACCTGCGGGGAGGAGGGCGCAGGTAGGGMGATGCGCGAGGCCTGCTGGGACTTGTAGTTCTCGCCGCCGGCCTGTTGCCTGGAGCCCGAAGCGCGGCGGCCTGGAGAGAACTACAAGTCCCGTCGTGAGGCGGGGCGCCGCGGGCAGCGCGCCGCCTGAGGGCGGGGGGTACGAAAGGGAACCTGCCGCGGGCGCCGCCGGGGGCCGTTTCCTCAGGTGAGGAGGCCGCGGGCGGCGGCGGCTTCGTGAGGCCTGTAGCCAAGGGGCGACGCGGGGGTGGCGGGGGGCGAGTCCCGGGAGGAAAACGCCCCGTCCCGGCGCCGGGGGCGGCGGCGGCCGCAGGCTGTGGGGAGACGGTGCCCTTTCCTCCCTCGGCTCATCCGAGGCTCCCGGTTCCTTGCACGTTTTAAGCGGTTTCTGCTGTTTTCTTTCTTTCCCCCTATTTGCAACTTATTCGCCGTGGAGAAAGAGGTGATTAAAAACTGGTTACCCCCTCCCCGATAAGCTGCAGTGCAGTCTGGCCACCTGGAACTTGTTTTGGGGTTAAATTCCAAAGGAAAAACAACTAATCCAGGCTTGTGCTGCCGGGCCTGTGCCTGGATGGAGTTTCCAGCCCATCTTTCCTTGGGCACCCGAATTGTGCCAGTCTGAGCTTCAGTCCCAGGCACGTTCCACGTACATAGCTGATTTTTAAGCAAATCTTACCTTAGAGCAAGTCTTTTAATTGCCTCGAATGTGTGGTGTGTCTTTTTAATTGCTGCTTGGTGCCCTTTTTTCAAACTAATCATTCCGTGATGGTGCCAGGAGGAGCAGTTCTTATCTYGGCTTTCTGTTAAAGCTGGAAAAACGAGTCCCGCTTCTGCTTTGCTTTATAAAGGTTTGTTTTAAACACAGCCCACACCTATTCTTCTGCTTGCAGACTCATCACCGGGGAACACTGGAGAATGAGTCAATGAGAAATTAGTAGTAAACCACATAGGAGAAGTGTTCAGCTCTCAGGAAGGTGCAATATTGCGCGCTGGTAAGTGAGAGTTGAGGCCTCGACAAGCGTGTGGTTTGTGGAGCAGCATCTTGTCTCTTCCAATCTCGTTATTTGTCATGATTAATTCAAGGCCCGTCAGAGCTGAGAAACCCTGTGGCAGAATGAGGGCGATACCCTTTCAAAAGAAGTGAATGGCAAAACTACCACTGCAATGTTTCTATTTGTGTATTGTAGCCCTGGCAAGGGATTTGAGATTTGTTTGGTGTGGAATCCCTTTTTTTGAGTTAAAATAGCTCTGTTTTCAAAACTGTGCTGGCATCTACAGCGTAAGTACTTTCTAATTTGGACTTTGGTTTGTGTGTGGCATTATGATGCTCTTAATCTGAAGGGAAAAATGCTGCCAAACATAAATAAAGCATATTTTATGTGCAGCTGTAGTTTTCTTTTTAAACTTGTAAASTTGTTTTCATGTACGACTTGCTCTGATCAGAACTTTGGTTACCTCATTCCGCGGYGTTGTAAAGGAGGCTGTAGATAAGACCCTTTCCTTTTTAAAGTTAAAATTACAACACAATATATGGTTCAGTTTGGCAATAAAAAAAGTTATGTTTTGCTTGTGGTTGGCAAGCTGTAAAACAAATGGTCTTTTTTCCATGTTTTGGTTAGGAGAGGCCAATCCATAGTACAAATCCCTCCTTGCTGGTCTGTTTGGTGCTTTGTCCTTTGATTTCCAAGCCAAAAAAACCCTTTTAGCCCATTGAGCTCTAGCGCAACCCAGCTTTGAGCACTGCATGTGCAGAAACAGAGGTTGCGTGTTCTAATCCTCCTCTCATGGGCATTACCTTAAATGAAAATATAAATATAGTCTTCCATGTGTGAATTCATGTCTTTCTGCCTCCTTCAGATGGATAGTATTTTATATATTATGTTATTGGTCTCTGATTTTCATCATCTGAAAGATAATTGAGCAGGATATCGTAGGGTGGCTTGGGTAATAAATGTAAATTAATGTAATATGCTRTTTAGTAGTTTGCAAGTTTTAAGTTTGTTCACCTCTCCTTTGATTTTCCTGCACTTAAAACTGGTCCAAACAAAATATGTATTTAAAAAAAAAAGAAAATAGAAATAAAATATATTGAGTCTCTGATTTGAGGACAGTTAGCTCTTGTGTCCTATTTCTGCTGGAACAGCCGCAGGGCGTTCTGGTTTGCTGCAATCACTAGTGGCTGTGAACAAATATCTGTCCTCAGATGTAATGCTCTTGTTGATTAGTAATTTAATTTGTTTCAGAAGTGGAAAGGCAGCTGATGTCGAGCTTATGGGGTTTGGCTATTTACATTTACAAAGGATGACTGGGAATTTTGGCAGTGGCTGGTTTCACAAATCTTTTTGTTTATTTAGCATGACTTGTTCCTGAATACAGGTATTTTTCTACACAACAAGAATATACTACTTTAAACAAATTGCATTTCTTTTCCCAGCATTTACAGTTATTATAATCAAATATTGACAGAATTTGTGCATAGTGTCCAAAGTGATGAAGTTTATCCATAAATGACTTTACCGACAGTGAGTGTTTTCCTTAGAGGAAACTTTTTCTCAACCAAGAAGCAAAATCCCATTTTTGAAAATGGGACGTGGAAAACTGATAGGTGGCAAGACGAGCTGTGAATGTGTTTTAAAATACATCCATCCATATGCACATTCTTGAGGTTGTTTGAATGTTGATTTTTGCTGCACTGCTTTGAAAAAACCCTAAAATTCTAAAGGTTACTAAACCCTTAGTACGAAGRCATAAAGAGGAAGAAAACKTCACTGAAGAAAATTGCACCCATGTAATTAGCACAAAATTCTTCATAACATTTATACAAGCACTTGCATAATAAGATATACAGACAGAAAGCTCTGTCCAGCTAAGTGCAATGCCTCCATTTGCAGCCACTTAAGTCATAAATAACTTCTATTTTGCTTATATTTGCAGGAGAAAGTGGTGCCATCAAAGCTACAGTCCAGGAGTTCTTGGCTTCTGAGGCTGTGCATTGTGCTATAGAAAAATTATCTCTCCGTCTGCCAGATGTCATCACCTTTGTATTAGAACAGATGTTTGCATTGGAGATATCTTCCCACCCCACACATTGCTGAAAAATAACACCTTGATGTTTTTCGGGCAGTAATTTGTGAAGCTAATTGTGGGTTAGGAATGTACTTTTTTTGTCCTTCTAAAACATTTCTCAAAGCTGATCTTTCCACTCCCATTTTTGGCCATGCTTTTCAGCATCAGCCTTGCTGCAGGCCCATACGTATGTAAATGGGAACCAATGAAATTATGGATCATCAACTTGATGACTTGACATGCACTGTTAGGTTTAAATCAAAATAGAGTGTGACAGTGATCTGCTTCTGCTCTGCCCAGATCTTCAGCTGTAGCAATTACCTATAGCACTAAGTGGAGTTTGGTTTTCAAAACTTCCAGCCCTTGGTCTTAGAGCTGTCTGAGCAGCAGAAGACAATTTTCGCTACCAAGCTGAACTAATTATATTTTGAAGTTGAGGCAACAGGATATGTGTCAGTGACTTCAGAAACTGAATATCATTGATCACACCATTGATTTCTAGTTTTTCTTCAACAAGCAACTTACCAGGGGTTATGCTACATATTTTACAGTAACTTAAAACTCATCGCTGTTTTTATTATAAAAATAAAAGTAACATTTCTGTTTATGAAAGCCACTGACAGTTTTCCCATACAGCTTGCAGGCTTCCTTTATAACAATTTCCTCTTACTAAGCCTCAGTTAAAGGGTGTTGGCTGTTCCCATGTTTTATTTATAATATGAGAGACTGTTTTTCTAAAGCTGCCAGGCTGCATGTAAAGTAGCTGGAGAAAGTGGATGTGGATTTCAACAACATCGACAAGGAGACGGGTCTCCTACATATTACAGTGTTGATATTGGAAGTGTCTGGACAATGCGAATGGATGAAAGAAATGTGTTTTTTCAAAGCAATTTAATAAATTGCTTTGGATTATTTGAATGGTTATATGGGGGGAAAAGAGTGTGTGTTTTGGGGGTAGGGGAGAGCTTGAGGTGTGTAACAGCCTGTATTCTCTTCTAGACTGATAAGAACTGTTTTCAGACAATTAAGAGGTCTTGCTATTACCAGGCTGACTTCATTAATGCCTCATAACTATGTTATGGGAAAACTTAATTGCAGTATTGTCTTTTCAGAGTGCCTTGCTCTCTGTGCTGATGCAAATCCATCCCAGCTCAATGCTGCAGCCCGAGGAGTAACCGCKGGAGCCTTATCAGCTTCGGTGCCAGGCAGTGACTGTTCTCTTGCAATCGCATTGATTTCTAGCTCCTGGGTGTGGAATAGCCCCTGCATCGCCCTGCTTGGARCACGCTGATAAGGCTCGCTGTTTCTTAGCAACTACAGGCTGCCATTGCCAGAAACCTGCCCCTCTGCAGCTGGAGGGAAAATTCTGAATGTCTCACGTTTGTACCTTTAAGCGAGGTAAGTCATTCCCCTTTGGCATACTTAATTAGAGGCATTTGCAGTTCAAATAAAACAAATGTTTTGGCAGAAGTTTCTTTGCARAGGGTAAGCCTAATTTCTCTGTCATTAATAAGCCCTTCTGATTTCTTTCCCTCTTTAGACCTCTGTCATCCCTGGGCATGGAGGTGCCATATGTCCTTCTCTTAACTAAATTTGTGGCAGAAGTTGCCAGCAAATCTACTGAGAGTTTGGTAGGTGCTTCTTGCTTTATGATGCTAAGTACTCTGAAAACCAGTGTCAGATTTTTCCCCTTCATAACTGCAATTTATAGAAGGCTTTCTGATTCAAGGGGAAAAAATAAACACAAGTTCCTACAAGTATTATCTGTAGTTACACTTTATTCTTCTGTATTCTCTGTTAGTTGTTCCTGAATTATTTTAGTGAAGCCAAGAACTTTGGGGAATGTATTGTAACTCATTTTTTTTAGGTTTCGGAGACAGAATGTTGTGTGGATGTGTGGGATACAAACAGTTCCTGCCCTGTAACCAACCAGTGCAGTCCAGGTATAGTGTATCATTGTTCAATGAAATTTCAGATTGTTTTTGATAGCTAGCACCAAAATACAGCACCCGATTATGTGCTATGGAGGGAAAAAACTTAATTGGTGCATGTGAATGCTGAGGTCTTTATTCCTCTAAATGCACACAAGTATTGCCAGTTATGAGTCATAAAAGTTGCCCGTGCATGAATAGCAGAATAGACTTTTATCACTAAGCTGGTTTTTTGTTTCTTTTGTGTTTTTTTTCTTGCCTTTTTATTTAGTGCATTTGGGTTAGGTAAAAGCTAGTGCATATAATAGGCATGACGGGAAAATAAAGTGTACCTAATAGAGCAGTAAGAATAGCTTCAGTGAAACAGTGAACTTGCTGTTTTCAGTTCTGTCTTATTCTTGTGCAGGTTGTTACAGGCGRTGGAATGAGGATGGTAGTAGTAGCTGCATTAAATGCAAAAATGAAACTCTTCCTGTTGCACCTGTTTACAATCTGACTGATTGCAGAAATAGTAAGTTTTTACCASCTCTTTATCTCCATGGGAGTCTTTTGGTAGTGAGATCTCCTCTTGAATACATAGTCTAGTAAAGACTGCATTTTGAAGTAGTAGTTGAATATTTCAGAATCTCTTTTCCATCTTTACAAAATCATGCAAATATAAACACTGAATTTCCAGAATGCTTTGGTCTCTGCTTTTAGAAAAGGGCACTTGCTAGGGACTTCAGGGCACAAGCAGCTCATCATGTACTTGAGTTCACTGGAAAATATATAATTTTGTATGTGAATTTTTTTATTTGTCAGTTAAGTACATGTGCTTGCTTTCAAGTAAGAAATTTGATGCAACTTTCTGGAACACATCAATTGATAGTTTTTTTCTGGACAAATCATGGTGTCTGCTTTTCTGAAATTGAAAAAGTAATATTAAGTTCTCAAATGCTCAGTAATGGTAATACTTTGCTTTAAAAACTTATTACAGCTGGTATCAGAGGAATGAATTTTCAAATGAATATAAGCACCGTAACTCCCTTCATACAGAATATAGGTAAGTAAATAGAAATGAAATATATAATGGGTGGATAACAGCCATTTTTACTTGTTTTGCTCAGCAAGAATCTTTTGCAAGTTGTAAAGAAAGGCACTTACCTTAAAAATTTACTTGGTATTTTTTTGTTTGGTACCACTTCATGAGGTACTTTTGTYCTGTTATACTTGTTTTGAAGTGATTTCTTGCCCCAGTCCTGGGGTTTCAGAAATAGTCAGCTTGATTTTTTTGAACCTTATACAGCAAGAGTTTTGTTCTTATGGARTGAGACAACACTACACACCCGTTACATGACTGAAATCTGATTAGCCTTTCTATAGATAGGTTTTTTATCACTGCTGACCAGTCACTTAATCTCTYGAAAAATATTTGCTTGACACAGGTAGCTAATACCATCTAAATAATCTCCATTTGTATCATTGTACACTTCAGCTGGAGTTAGAATGCAGAATGAGGTGACACAGAGCAAGTGTTTTAACACCACTCCCCTTAATAGAAGGCTATAGAGCCAAGCTGAAGTTTGGTACTGCTGATCCCTTTSAAACATTTGTCTTGTCATCTGCATACACTTGAGCTGGAGCATGTCTTGCTGCTCAGACTGTGAACTTCTCAAGAAGAGCTTGTTAGAAAAATCTGTTGTTTTGGTTTGTCTGTAATGAGATTATAAACATCTTCTGTTTCTTAAAATACTTGCTATTTTTGTTTCTGCTGGCACTGATCTTGAAAGTTCTATAAAAAGGGGATGAGATTCCCAGTTGACAAAAGTATTTTCTGTGATTTTTACAGGGGGCCCAGAAGTGGCAGCCTCCCTCATTGTGGGAACATTTTTCATCAGTTTATTCCTGATTCTGTCTGTTGCTTCTTTCTTCTACCTCAAACGTGCCAATAAACTTCCTAATGTTTTCTACAGAAGAAACAAAGGTAAAATACCTCCAAGTAATTGTCTGTTCCACCTGTAAAGTTTTGACCTTTGAGCTTCAAACAAAAAGCCCTGGTGCCTTTTACATACAACACATTTTAATAGAATTTAATAATCCCCATTTATTTCAAGGACATTGCTTGTGACAAAACCTTTTTCTATTAATAGAACTATTCTGTTGTACATATGTTTATAGAAAGCTAGCAGTTCTAATCTTCTGAACTAATGATGATTAGTCTCTTTCTCTCTTTTAGCATCTGTTCTCCAGCCTAGTGAAACAGTAAGTAAAATCTATCTTCTTAATATAAATAAGCATAAACTGCCTAGTGTGCAATAACTTATTTTTAACTATTCATGGTAGAGCTACCTAATCTGATGTGTGAAACTGAAATAAAACCATGTCTTTGGGTTCTTTGTCCAAATGGAGAAAAGCAAAAAAGATGAATAATGACCATGTGGATTCTCTTGAGCTAGATTATCCAAGAAAGACTATTTGCACACTAAGAATTATTGGAACATAAAATGCACCTATATTGTTTTAAAATCTCAAGAGACTGAGAACAAAAGGTACATTGTTTGACTTGATCATTCTTCTGTTATGCAGGCATCCATGATACCTCCCCCTGCCTCTTCAGGTGAGGAACTGTTCTCTGGGGCGTTTTGCTGCAAATATTTTCTCTATTAGATTCTCTTTTTGGCATCTCATTATTGCAGGCAGGAAAACTATCCCAAAATGGGTATGCTAAGAATATACAGCAAGCCAAAACAATTATCTGTGAAGCCTGGTATAGAACTGTGTAATCTCTTGAGGGGCCAGAAATCCAATGAAATCTGTCCAGTTCTTGATAGGATTTATTGCTTTAATTAAGACATAGAGGATAAGCAGTTTGTGTTAAAGTTTGTCATTGCTAGTTAGGATAGAGAAAATTTACAGGATTAAGATAGGATAGAGAAAGCTAAGAAAACTTGCTTGGAATATTTTTACAAGTGCTGAGTAAGTTGGTTCAGGCTCACTGATATGAAGCCTATCAAGTGTCTAGAAACAACACACTAAACAATATTCAGCACTGTGCGTTACGTGGGCTGTTTGTAGGTGGCTAGGTGGGTTTTAATAAGCATTTAAACGCAGGTGGAAATTTAGTTCTTGGAGAACACTTCACCTAATCAGCTTTGCTTAATTTTCTTCCATAGATCTTCATAGTTTCTATAAATGAATGTATTTGAGAAGTATAAAATTTGCTGCTTGCRAATTGTTGCTTGAGGTGTTGTATAATAAATTAATGATAAAGGCATGGTTATGAACCTATGTTTATATGTTAATGATGTCTCTGCCAACCATTGCAGTTCGGAAGCCACGATACATCCGAAGGGAAAGGTCACTAGTGACATCTGCAACCTCTGCTATCATCTCTTCTGGAGAAACGAGGGTCAGCAATGTTTAGCCTTCATTCTTAACTGAGGACTGTGTTGAAGAAATGTTCTAAATCCACTGAAGTGCCAGGAAAACATCACAAGCAGCTGACCTAAATGCAYGCCAAATGACAGCATTGAGGGGTTTGTGCCAAATATTAATAGAGAAATGAACTCGTGTAAAGATGCATCCAGTTCTGTGAACTGCTTTGGTGGGCTTGAAGTGCACTATTCCAGCTCTGTGGTTTGGTTTGTCTCCTACAGATGCTGTGTTTTGAAATCTGTAAAGTATCTGCCCTTGGTTTCAGTTTGGGCAAGCTTTTCCTCCTGTGTTGTGCCACGTTCTCTGTCCTCAGAGCCGAATGTCTTGGCGCTGCAGATCAGCACAAAATGTTGGAGTTTCTCAAGGGTGTGGGCTTCTTYGAATGGCCCCACTGTAAGTGTTAACACTAAGTGCCACTGCTTTAAYGTTGTAGGAGAACATAATACTTAAAATGCAGTATTCTTTTGATGCAAAAACTGATGCCTCTTGGAGTATCAGCATCAGCCTCTGATACTGAGTGCCCTTGTTTTTTAACCATCCAGATACTGTTCTCATCACTCTTGAAGGCTGTGATCGGTGTGGATCTGACCCAAAGTGTGTGAATTTGCTGGATAGCTTTTCCAATGGTTTCAGCTTGGTCCCTGAATTAAAAAGCCATTTTTTATGGTTTTGTAATGGATAGGCTGCTATGTCTGCTGTGTGTAGATGGTCTTCAGTAGCTTATTTTCYTCAAAGCAGCTCAAGGGAAATCAAACTTCCTGGAGGATAGCTGTGCATCTTCTAGATATGTCAGTGAGTGTGAACTGAGAAGATCAGGTGAATTCCTGCTGATGCAATAAGGGTTTTTTTTAGCCAAGCTCTTTATTAACATGCCTGACATCTCAGGTGGTTGACCTCACTCTTCTTATGGCAATGGTGCAGTGCACTTGACCTGGAAACTAGGTAGCTGTAATTAATATTTTTTTTTGCTTAGGTTGTCTTTGAACCAAGCTGTGTTTTGGTGGGGTTGCCTATTGCCACATGAGCCCTTATATGATCATGATGAGCACACTGGTATAGGCCTGAGAGTGGGAAATAAGTGGAAATTTGAAGCTGCTGAATCAGTTGAAGTGTTACTGTCACCACATGTGAAATTATTTCTRAGTGTTCCATTCTGTCTGTGGTGTTCTTGCCTGTTTTGATTTATCTCCTACGTTGTGGCGCTGTACTCCTACAATGACTGGCTTTGTGGCTGTTCATCGCCAGCCACTGACATGAATGTAATGATCACAAATGATTCACCCTGTCAGCAGATGTGAACGCATCTGTCTTGAGCTGATGCCCCTATGGAGTGGGCAGAGATGTCGATTCTCTTCTCCCTGTGGTTACAGGCTCAATAAAAGCAGTAGGATCAGAATTGGTATAGGAAGGGATATGTTCATCTTATCCAATAGAGCTATTTTTAAGCAAGCTTCAGTGTAGCTGTAATTATTTTTACCTCCTAAGAAGGAATGAGATCTCTTGCAGTATCCAGGCAAGCCGGGGCAAAGACTAGGGATGAGGGACGCACCATGAAGACGCAAGGGCTACTGACTTGAAAATAACCCTGAGTTGCTCTATGGAGAATACTTAAGATTGCCTTTTTATGACATTGAGAAGCAAAATTTGTTCTGGTGGACCAAACTAAGCACAGCAGACAACTCCATTTGAGACATTTCACTCTTTTTGATATGATATATACTTCATATGTTCCCTGTTCAGGAGGCTGCAGTTTTGTCTCAGTCATCTTGATGTCTTTTTATCTCTGTGCTGTTGAGATTTTCCACAGGTAGAAATTTATCTGGAGGCAGTAGGTTTTTCCTGAACTTAGTTGCTGAATATTTCCTAACCTTTAAGGAAAAGGAGTAACTATGCAAATAATATAATGCCAAGAAACTGCACCTTTTAAAGCAGGGAGTTGCTGCTTGTGAATCTGTCAGTGATGCATCTTGGAATTACATCGTTGCTAACCTGTTTTTTCTATCCACAAGTTGAAGGAGCATTTGTGCCACTCTTGTACTGGGACTTAAATATCTCAAACTACTGTTACATGTATATATATCTGTCCAAACCCTATCTGACCCTCAAGTGGGTATTGTAATGTAGTTCAGTGTCAAATGTGTAATGCTCTAACTCCCTCCGTGCAGACAATTTTTTTCCAGAATACTAATCTTCTTCCCAATTCTTTTTTCTCCTCTAGAAAAGTCTCTTAAATGCAGATATTTTTACTTATTCTTTTCCAAGAATGTTCAGGTTTGTTTATTGTTCTTTGACACAATGGACTGCTGGTCTGAACAGTTTTTGGTTTATTTGCACTGGCAACTTAAATACATAATGTGGCGTTTTGGTTCTGACCCTCCAAAATAGCAACGTTTAGAAAGAGGCTTGAATAAGCCCTTAGCTCTGAACTAAATAACATAACTCCAAAACAAGGGATTGATATGTAATGTATTTGTGTATTTTTAAATTATGCYAAAATAAACATCTTTGAGCTTTTTTAACCACTGTGGAGGCCTTGCACGTCATTTCTTTTCAAGCAGAGAATGAAGGGAGCAGTGTGAGCACTCAAACCAAGGCAYCTTTTCAGTGCAGGAGGTACCTCCAACACTTTGAGGAAGGAGTCTGCTGGGCCAGCAGCAATTAGGTGCCTGGTGAGATTGGTGGCCCAGGTGATGCTGGTCCCCAAGGGCTTCAGGTGGGAGAAGGTTCCTTGGGCAGGACACCATAACAGCAGAGCATGAAGGAACCAGGTAAAACAGCACTTTTGCACATGCAGAGGGTTGTGGCCTCTAAGGGTGGCACTGGACTTGSTGGCCTGGTGTGTTTGTGTCACTGGGCCATGGAATCCTGCTTTCCTGGGAGCAGAGATCCTAGAAACTTGCTGGGGGGTTGGAAAGCACCTTCTGCTGGTTGGCTCCTCAAGGTTAGCTCAATTGTTCAGGTTCTGCTGCCATATGAAGGTGGTAAAAGACAAGACCTAATGGGAAGTGTGTGGCAGCTTTCATCAGCTGGTGCRCCTGAAGCTGTTTGATATGAATATTGTGAAATTTGGGACTACATTCTTGCCTTTGGACAAGGGTTAGGCAGTCTAACATGTAAAGATTCACTCTTTTCCCTCTTGTCAGAGATACCAGAGTGCACCAGAGCGCCGCACTCGGGGCAACAGTCTGCAGTGAGCGGAGCACGTTGCCTTCCCGCATAGGGCTGCGAGGTGAGCAGAGGGCTAGCTCTGCAATGAGAGCCGAACACTCCACGCTTTCCTCATTGACCTGCAACAGGTAACTCGCAGAAAAGCAGAATTATTTCCAGAGATGCTGGAGAACCTGCTAAGGSTTGGGAAATCCTCTATGCAATGTGTGTGAGATGTGGTATCCAGGCTCCTGAGCTCAGTGTGGGAAAGTGGAATGTGAATATGGAATTCAAGTACCACTTAAACTTGGGGATTGAGAAATAATAAAAGGGAACAGCTTGAAATATAAATGCTTATGAGTGTCGTTTTGCCTCTGCTCAGGTTATGAGCTCGTTTCTCTGCTCTCTTCAGTGTACCCRTGTGCTGCTGTAACAGCAAAATGATGCTGAAATACTGGTGAGGAATGAGGGAACAGTAAGAACTATTTATCTAAGTAGCTGCTTTGATGCTGGCTAAAAAAGGTACTAGGACAACAATAAACTGGGTAAGAAGGGAAAACAGTAGTTAAAATCCATGGCTGTGCAGGGAGGCAGGCTGCAGGTGTGGGAGGAGGCTTTTCCTGGGGGAGCTGCCTTGGTTTGTAATTCCCCATTGGAGAGCTCTACTCTGCAGGGATTGCAGCTGGGAGGATGTGCTGGGCTGTGGATCTGAAACCTGCCGGGGGGGTTTAGGTAGTGTGCAAATAAATGGGCAACAGGCTCTTCAGATCCACCAGCTAATGTTTCCAGCAGGGCTTGAAATGTAATTATTGGAGATTTCYTCTCCCACATGTGCTGTGGGTGATTGGAAGCATTAAAAGGGAGGCCGTAAGAGCCTTACCCCTCACTAAGGAGATCCCTGAGCACAGTTCCGACATGAGCAGATCTGCAGTGGGAGGGCTGGGAATCTGCTTAACAGAGGCGATTGGGGCATTTTGTCATTAGAGACTCAAGKCCTTGTCCTTTCTCTGCTTGTTTTCCGATACCAGCTCCCTGTCAGGTGTGTTCATCCCACTTTGGTGTGGTCCAAATGTGCCACTTGCCAGTAAGTGACTCTCTGGGCTCAGGGAACCAGGAGGGCAGGGGAGCTGAGGTGGCCGCTGTCTTTCCGGCTTGGCTCCCAACTGGGATCTCGTTAATCYGCTGTGGTTGCCGGCCTGACACTTCCTTGTCCAATGCTGTTCCCGCTGCCCCGGGCACTATCTGTGCCTGATTACTCTTGCTTTTACCGGCATCCTCATAAATAGTGTTTGCGGAGAAGGGATGCACCTCAGTGCCATTTCACAGCAAAGCAGGTACCTTTTATTGCTGGCTGGTGCAAAGTCCAGGACTTGTGACCTTTGGAAAGCTCTYGCTCTTCCCTAGGGAATTTCAGGAATAAATCCCTGACTTGCTTCTTGATTTCAGTAGTAGAGAGCAAGGCTGTTTCATCTTTTCATTCTRTTCAGTAGAACAATGGAAAAAGTGGATTAAAAAGCCCTCAAATGTTGGCTGTGGTTGATCTGTGGGCCCCAAAACTTAGTTTATTTTGAATCTTGGTATCAGGGCCTCCCATTCCCTTTGAAAACTGTTTTTGAGCAATTTTTAAACTGTTCCAAGCTTCATTTATGCAAGTGATTCAGGCTACCTACCAGATTGCCTTTATGCCTTGCCTTCTACAGGATAGTTATGCTTTGCTAAAGATGYACTTCCTGAAGACAAGAAGGTAAATGAAAACTTGGTCCCTCCAAAATAAAACTTGTTTTCAAGAGTCACTATGGAGAAGGAAATTGAAGAATTGAATGGAATAAGGATTCAGCAAGGGCTGGAAGCTGTTTTTTTTATCCCCTCCAGAGGTAGCACTGCTCTGTCATAATATCTAACTAGCTACAGCTCAAGGCTAATGCTTACCCTCTTCAAGTGCTCTCGCTCATGACCTGTTTCTAAGACTGCTGCTCATTAAAAGCACTAAATCAATCTGCAAACAAGTTTTACAGCTAAATCCTAGGGCAGAGATGGCAGGAGATGCTCGTTCCTGTTTACACTTTAAACRCTTTGTAACTGCGTCAGTTCTTGAATGAATTTTCTTTAACGACGATGGCTTGGGGAGATAAGTCCTGCCTTTATAACCCATGGGTTTTAGAGGTAAATAAAGATCTGGTCGTGACCAGTGTGGAAACAGGACCTGTCCTGTTGGAGCAAAGCCATGTTCTGTCCGGAACTCATCTGCACAGGTGGGTTGTCCTGAGCTTCCAGTGCTCATGGTTATTTACTGTAAGTAGTAAAAAGGCTCTTCTCGTTAGCGTGTTCTCATTTAGATGTTCCTGAAAGTGTCCAAAGGCTGCAGTACCCCGTGCTCAAAGGAAATGTATGTAGAGAAGTCCATTCTAGTGGTTGTAGCCTGCACTGGTGGTAGAATAGGCTCTAGTTCTACTAACAGGACTGCTCAAATTATCTCCTTTAAAAAAAATACCTTTTTGGTAAGTTTTGGGGTCTGTGCAACTTGTGGTGGCACCAATCAGCTCTTGGGGAGCAAGGAGGCCACTTGTCTGGGTTTACTGCAAGCTGGACACTCCCAGTACACGCTGGGARGAACAAAGTGGGATTGTAGCAGGGGCTGCCTGGGAGGATGCAGTGCAGCAGGGCACATCCCTGGCACGCTGATTTGCATTGATTTCCATCAGAATGGTGCTTGGATGTGTGAGGCTTTTGTAGCAGCTTTTTTCCCCCCCTGAAAGCTCAGGTTTCTGCATTCCTAAAAGGTCRTCTTTTGTTTGTTTTCACTTCGGTCAATAATTATGCTGGTCAGCCACACCAAAAACTTCCAATCTTGCCTTCAATTTTTTTCCTTCAGATGCTTCTAAAGAATTTTATACCAGAGCAGTTTGAAAAGCAGGGAGGATCCATYGTCATCACTAAAGGAGGGATGCTCTGCATCCTGCCCCCATCTACCCTTCCTTAAAAACTACCCATCGGCCAAATTTTGTGACAAAGATGCCCTGAAGCTGTGACTTGTTCAGCAAGGGACATCCTGGCAGAGCGAGTGGCATGACTGACACCTGGTGGTAGCAGTTCAGCAAAAGTATTTCACATCTCAGTTGGCTTTTTTTGGTGAATAATTTTGAATTTATGCACCACAGGCACATAAGAATGGTGACTTTTATTTTTCTTTACAGTCAGTTGTCTTTTCACAGTACAACTTCTGTAAGAAAGTTTTTTTTGATTAAGGAGTGTACCTATTTTCTGTCATGTTATAGGAGAAGAGCTTTATGTTAAAGGAGGAGGTGAAAAGACCTAAGTCTGGTTTTCAACCTCAAAAACTGACTTCACAAGAAAATTCTCAGTTGGAGAGTGTGGGACACAAGGGAGGTAGTATCTGAAAATCAAATTCCAAGTACATGATGCCCTGGGATGGCACAGCAAGAGGTAAGCTGGGCCTTGGATTTTTGGAAGTTCAGTCTAGATTTTTCCTTCAGAAATACCAACTTTCCTTGTTGTCAGCTGGCTTTCCCCTTCAAGTCCTGCAGAGCAGGAAGCAGAAAATCTTGAAGGAGACATTAACTAGGAGAATTTCTCATAAAGCCTTTCTCATCTTAGTGCTATGTCATGTTTTCGAACGGCTCAAATAAAGGAGAGTGCTGCACCATTTATTTCACCCAAAATGTGCTTCCACACATCTCCCTTCACATCTCTTTCCTTAACCCTACAGGCACCATTCTCTAAATCTTTAATTCTAATTCTGAAGAGGACTGTGGTTAGAGTTGAACCATAACAGGAAAAACTAACGTGGCTGCAGAGGACCCGGAGTCACACTAATGAGGAGGTGAGTGGATTTATGGCTCTCCCCACATCGGCTCCAGGGATTAGTTGGGAGGCTGCAATAGTGCAGAGTTTGAGGCTCAGAGGGAGGTTCAATTATGCTCTGTACAGTACAATTAACTGCCTGCAATTAGAATGAGTGCCTTAATTACCATGTTTACATTTTGTAGCCTCTCTGCTCCAGTCAAACAGAACTTTCTCTGCATATAAAGCTACTCATAAACACTTTGTTTTTTGCTCTTGTTTTCCTACCATATGCTAATTTAAAGAGTTGAGATTGGGTTTTGGCAAATGTTTACCCAGCTCAAATAACATAATAAAAGCAATAAACACAGCACAGTTGACAGTTGTTTTGGTCTGGATTTTTGCCTCTTTGCTCCTTCAATATGGATGTTTGTTAATCCCTTCATGGGCCTCTGCAAGACTTTCTCCCATTTGCGAGGTTGCATAAAATGGCTTTTAAAGCCTCTCTAAAAGAGT